CCCTAGGACACCTAGCGAGCCACTGTAAACACAGAGAAAGAACCTTTACCAGGAGAAAAAACACCTGGGCCTGGTTCATGCCCAGGAGAAGACTTCGGTATTTCAGATGTTAACTGGGATCCGATGTTGACTCCTGAAGGTTGAAAATCCCCTGAAACATTGTAGGTTTAAAGTCATTCTCTGGACATCGACTGACCGTGGTGCCTGGTCAGACAAGGCCTTTAACAAAAGGTCGTCCAAGTATGCCACAATGTGGACACGCTGAGAACACAGAGCGAAAATGAGCTAGCACTTTAGAAAAGGCCAAAGTTAAATGCCACAATGTGGAAGTTATCTTTGCCCACTGCAAAGAGCAAGAACCGTTGGTGCGCAGGAAGAAATGGCACGTGCAGGTAGGCATCCTTGATGTCCCTTCATGAAGGAGGGGAAATGACTAAGCACCAATTTCAAGTGTGCAGAAAAAAAAAAATCTTTTGGAGGCAGTTCAGGACCAGGATGGGATGCATCCATCCATCCATTCCTTTTGGGAACCATGTACAGATTGGAATAAAACCTCTGGAACGTCTCCTCCTAAAGAACAAGGACTATAACTTCTGAGGTCAGCGGTTGCTGCAAAACCTTCTGTAGAGCCTCTCTTGCACTGGGGAAAATTCAGATCCTGGGAGGCCTCAAACCCAAACGGCCGTAAAGGCCAACACATGTCCCCCAGCAGATATCTGACCTATGAAGACCATCATGGAGGCTGTAAAATCCCCCTTGCTAAGGCAGAAAGAGTGGAGCATTCCTGATGGAGCAATATACACATTAAAGAGGGTAGTGAGCTTAAAGGTGGGCTAATACACAGGCCATCAAGAGCAGAGTGCCCGGGGGAAGCCTCAGGTAGCCCCACCTTGCCAGTTAGTAGCAGTGGAGCTGACTATCCCTTTTCCATCTGTCACTTTGCATTTGAGTCCGCCATAGTGAGGGACCCCACAAAGGGTACTTACAGACTGGTAAATGAAGGGCTAACGAGGATACCCACACAGGTCTCAGCAGTTCTCAACTAGTGTTGTTTCTTTCTGCAGCCTGCCCAGGTGTCTTTAAATATGCAGTCCGCAAGGTTTCTTTTGCCAACTCCACATGTGACCTGCTTACGAAGGGATCCTAAGATGGCCACCACTGCATCGGTTCATCCATTCCTGCACATGACCACAGTCAGACACCCACCCCCCACAGGTGTATGCATATGGCCGAAGATTACAGCTGATCCTTAGGTGCCCGAGGCAGTGCCCTTGGGCATCAAGGACCAGCATAGTGTTGCCAAAACCACTGTAACCAAAAAATACCCAGGTAAAGAAGGGGGTCCCAACAGAGTGAAGAGGCGCCAGGGGAAACACAGGAGGCTAGAACAGCCCACACACAAGACCACAGGACTGGGAAGAACAGCACTCAGAACCAGGGACAACCATTGACCTTCAGCTTCACTCACATTTATACAGCAAGACCCCCCCAAGGGGGGTCTTCAGGGACTCAGTTTACCCAGTGCATATCTCAATCTGATTTAGAGATTAAAGGAAATAAGGTAATCAGTCTTACACACATCTCCCTCGGGAGAGGAGGCATCCATCACCAAGCGAGAATAGCAAACTGAGGATTGTTGGGAGTGGGAGGGGTTATATGAGGGTCCAAATCATCTGATGATATCTGCATATTAAACATTCATCTCTGAATCTACCTGTATCCTGTCCGATCAAGAAAAAATCATTAGGTATGAAGGGACTATCAACTAAACTAAAGCACAACTCCATCATTTTATAAATACATGAGCCGAGTGATATATTCATTAGGGATGCACCGATACTGGATTTTCGATATCGAGTACAGATACTTTTTTTCCCGGTACTTGCCGATACCAAGTACGGGGCCATGTGCTCAGATAGGAAGTCATGATACACTGCCCGGCTTCCTGATTGCCTGTGAAGCTGGTGTTCTAGCAAAAGAACATCGGCTTCACATGCCGAGGCTGCCTGGCTTCCTTACTAATCAGGAAGCCGGGCAGTGACTAATACGGTGACGTCCGGCTTCCTGATTGGTCAGGAAGCCAGACAGCCTAGTAACAGGTGAAGCTGGCTTCCTAGCCAATCAGGAAGCCGGGCGGCACGTCATGACCTGCCTCCTTGAATGGCTAGGAAGCCGGCTTCACCTGTTCCTAGGGAGCCTGGCTACCAATCAGGAAGCCGGGAGGGGAGTTATTATGCGCCGTCCGGGTTCTTGATTGGTTAGGAAGCCAGGCTGCCTAGCAACAAGTGAAGTTGGCTTCCTACCCAATCAAGAAGCCGGGTCGTAACCCAGCGCCCGGCTTCCTGATTGGAAAGGAAGCCGGCTCCATGCTTCCTTGGCACTTGTGGTCAGAGGGAAATCTCCCTCTGACCGGAAGTTCCGGTATCGGAGATAAGTATCACAGCATTTGGGCGAGTACTCACCCAAATACTGGGTATCGGCACTGATACAGATACTAGTATCGGCGAATACCTAATATTCATTACCTATCCTGGACTGTACATGTTTTTAAAGTATTTAGTCTGACTACACAGAAATTGTCAAAAGTTGACTACTGGCTGTCATAGGGTAGCTAAAACCACAATAATTAGCAATTTGTTCAAGGGAGAAAAGTAAAAAAAAAAAAAACCCCACATAACATCTCATGCCAACAATTCCACCACAGCACAGGCACATTATTTGACACAGTGGATAATTTAAGGTCCTTTACACGGGCAACAGAACACAAAGGGTAATAAATGGTAACTGCAAGGCCATTTTTTTTTAGTTGCACGGTTCACTACATCAGATCTTTAAAGTGTATTTCCACTTGTGCAGCCAAATTGGGATAACACCCATTTTATATTTGTTAGATGTTGCCATTCACATAGCATAATCCTAAAACAAATGCTTCTTGCAGTTTAAATTGCTTTTACTTGGGTTAGGGTTTTAAGGGTTACAATTTCTTCTTGCTTCTATTCCTTTGAAATGTTAGGAGGGGCTGTAATGGGTGAAGGGTCTGGCTCCATTTAACAAAACATCTAATATTTAAGACATTTTTTAAAAGTTATTTTTCAGTATGCTGTGTGAACAGGAACACAAACATATGGAGGGGTTTTACTAAATTTGACTGCAAAAGTGGAAATTCAGTAAGTGGATACAAGTTTAAAGGGGTTTTCCACTTTTAGTGAATGAAATGAATGCCATTCAGCCATACCTTCCACCAACAATTTATTACAACATGATGCTTTTTATCATGTTTTTTCTGTTCTATACTACAAAAATTCTGGTGTGCTAGATATGTAAACCTAAACTATCATAAGTTTTATTACCGATGTTAATTGGTTTCTAATTCTGGTATTCCCTGCAATAGCTTGTACTCTGTTCTATAAACAGTTTTAACATTCCATCAAATAAAGTTGATCAAAGATGAAGATTTACACCAGGCTTAGATTAAGCAGAAGACTTGCACTAGACCTTGACCTTAGAAATTAGTGGCCCTCCATCTGCTGTACATTTGTTCCGCACAACACAAATCATCTTTATAGCAGATCTGAGCAGTAATCCAGTGTGAAACTGCCGGTCCCTACTGCTCCCTCTCCTTTTGCAGGTGCCAGGTCTTGGATCCACCGCCTCCTGTGGTTTTCTGCAGGGAGCCTGTAGTGGGTGGGCCTTACCACAGCTCCACTCTCTGCGCAGCCTATGTGCAGCACAGCGAAGGTAACAATTGGGTTTGCAAAGACATTCGGTGCACACAAAGTGGGATTATATCCTTCGTGCCAATTGAGGAATATCTTTTAATGAAAGGTTTTGTCCTTGAAGTTCAGCATGAAAGGGGATATATAGTGTATTACTAGTAAGCACAAATATTTTAGTACAGCGCTAACCTTGAAATATTTTATATAGGATTTTCACATTGCTAAATGTGCCCTCATCCATATTTTTAATATTGCATTGAATATAGAGATTTGTAGAATAACCACTAGATGGGGTTCCGTATTTGATCCAACCCTATCAGCTACAGGGACTGCATTATTTTAGTAAGTCAGCTAACTTGTATTGTGAAGGAACAGTGAGGCAAAACCACTGTGTAGTACAGTGAGGCTGGAGGCAGAGCCTTAGAATGGAATGAGCAAATATAGTTGCCTCAGGGCACATAAATTATTACAATCTGAACAAACAACTTCAAATAAATAAATGCTAATAAAATGATCATCAAGCTGACCTTTTAAACATCAATGGAGAAATTGTACATTATCTTTATTAGTTCCATATTGATTAAGGTCACGTAATGTGATTTAGTACAAAAACATGAGTAGCATACTAAAGGCTAATGCCATCCCAAAAACTGGTATTTCTGCATTGGGCAAATACAAAAATAAATCCTGAACTGGCTTATTGCGCCTCAGATGGTTCCCAAATCTTCCCTCTGCTTTCCCATTAGTATTTTTGGCTTTAGAACAGGCAAGGCCCGCTGGATTTTATAAAGGAGAAGACTTTTAGGCTCCAGCAAGGAGACCTGGACTAGATAAAATACAAGCTGTAAAGGACATTTGGGCTGCAGGGATCAGAGGTAAAGCCATAATTTTGCAACAAACAAAAGCCAATGGGTGATTCAAACAGCTGGAGCCCATGTATAACCTATTAAATATTTTGGGTGGTCTTTAAATAGTTGAATATAATTCTAAATTAAAAAAAGTAAAGCAGTCTTTGTCCTACCTATGGAATGCATTATTCTTGGGTACCAAGCAATGAAAGGTCACATGAAATGTGTTATAATGCTAGTGACTGGATAGCTGGGCTATGGTCATGTCAGCATTTGGGATCATTAAGTGGAAGGTCGTCAAAGAGACGGGTTTAAGGCAGCACAAGACAAAGCTTTGATTTCTGCAAAGAGCCGCAGAATCACAGCAATGCTGCATGTAATTAAGGAGAAATAGAAAGGTAACAGAAATTGAAGTAGTCCACCTGTATGTACTCACACTGTTGGCTGGGGTCCATGTCTGTAGTCAGCTTGACGTAGTTGGATGGGAAGAGACCCACTTGACCGTTCAGTTCACCTTTCCACCAGTCTGGATCTTCTTTGTTCAGTACGTTGATCACCTGACCCTTGGAAAAGGCCAGCTCATCATCATTCTGTGCAATGTAATCATACATCCCAATAACCTGGCATGCTACAAAGAAACACAAAGCAGGGTCACTCACAGGCCGATGTGATTTTCATCATTATGCAAGTGGTTTTTCAGCAACGTTTCTGATCAGGATACATTGTCAAAATGTTTATGAGCGAAATTTAAAGAAAATCCATTATCAAGCAAAATCCCAATCTTAGATGCCCAAGACAGAGGCAGCCAATGTTTCACTCAAGTGCTGAATACTAGTTCTAAAGAAGTAAGATGGCTGGGGCTAGCATGCAGCTTGTTATCTAACAAACCTTTAATGCAGTGGTTCTCAACCTGTGTAACCTCGGGACCCACATTTTTCCTTGGACTTTAATGGAAACTGTGAATGTCTAAATATTTAGTATGATGGATTGTCACAATCACTATACATTCCCTTTAAAGGGCCAGGCCACACAAAAGTGATTTTGGTTAGTAATCGAGTCTGGTGAATCATGGACTCCAGTGATAAGATTTCTGTGCCATAGTTAGCAGCTCTACCATTGCCCACCTAGGAGATTTGGGTGTTGTATTTTCCATAGTAATGTAAAATACTTTACAACTATAATGGGGAAGGTGCAATGTACTTGGAACAGCCATGGCAGATATGTAGACCTGTGTCTTATTAAGCACGGATATCTTATCATCGCTGCCATGAGAGAAGTAAGAAAGCATGAAGTGGATTAAGTCTGCAGCAACCACCAAAAACAGAAACATATTCGGATGCATTAAGGCTAGAGTGAATCCACCATTGGACTTCGAAACAATGACAAGAAAGTTTCATAGGGAAGCATGGTGGCTAGGAGGTCTGTACATCCTCCTCAATCTGCGCATTAGTAACAAAAAGGAATGGAAATTAAATTTTAGCTTTTCTGGGGTGGGGATGAAACAAACGCATTCAAAGGCTGAGATTTTACCAAATACATACTCTTATGGATTTGGGTGGACAATTTCTGTTTGCATTCTTAAAACTGCATTAAGGAATGTCAACAATGTTAGGGCTACATTAGATGCAAAAAATAGTTAATACAAAGGCCACTGATAGCTGATGGAGGTCACCAAAATATAGATTTATATTTTATTATTTCAAAACGCACATCAGTAACCGTGAGACAAGGAGTTATAGGAGTCTGGTTATAAGAGTTAGTTGTGAGCGTCATCATTCTGAGCACACCTTATCAAGATATCGCCAAGGTTCTTGTAAACACCAAGGTGACCCACAGACCCCTACCAGTGTGGAACATATATGCAAGGACAATTTATATCCAAAAAGGAAGTTTGAAGGGTGACTAATGATCAAAAGGAAATATAATAACAGAACCGTCATTAGGGTTTAAAATGTGACCGCAGACAGGTGCTTAGAGACAAATGTTGTAAAATGCAGTAGAAAAGCATGTTTAATAATGAATCAAGATACGTGGACACTGACAGCTCAATTTAGGAGAAAAACAAAGCACAACATAGTAATCTGATTACAGAAAGACGGTGAAATACTTACTGGTCGGTAACACTGCTGGTTTTGGAGGATCTGTAGGGGTGCTCTTATTTGTACCAGGGCTCAAAAGTTTAACATAGTTGGCAGGGAACCAACCAATCTGTCTCTTCTTCCCACGGGCCTGAAAACAGACAAACATAAAAGAACAAAATGAAAGCCTGAAAATAAAATACATTACATTGAATTAAAAAAAAACAAAAAAAAGTTATCTAGTCATTTAAGATTTAGGACATCTGAAGCACTACTTAGGTTTCACTTCTAGGTAGGAATGTCGACAGGCTTCGGGGTTGTGTCGATTTGATCAGATTGACATCAGTTTTCGAGGCTTCAGAATTGACAGGTTTTGCATCCCCATGATAATGCAAAACCCACTAGTACAAGCAAAAACCCAATCGGCATAGGCTTAAAGTAAGAGGAGTTCAAAAGTAAACATAAAACATTTTCTGCAGCTATCAGATACTCTTCCATCCAAAAGGAAGTTGAGTAGAGTCAAAAGTCAGGGAAACTTGTGTACTTGGATAATATTACTAACTGTGCCCCCAAGATGCCTTCTGTTTGTGTGAGGTTAATCCAAACACTGGAAATGCCAACAAATGTCATCAGTGCAAACATGCCAAGCTCTACCTATACAAGGAGAGGACAACAAGTATGTGTGGCAGTACTCTGCATGTATATGGTGCTTCAGCTGAAGATACAGATTTAGGCTTTACACAGATAGATAGCTTGACATCCCTTGTAATAATATAAACCAATATTTATCATTCAGTGGGTGCACAGGAATCTCCCCTCTGCAACCAGTGATTATGTAGGGTCTTTGGCAACTAACCAAAAAAAGAAAATACAGCCCCAACATCTAGGGACTAGTAAGCTGCAATAATAGGATTTTGTTTTTCCCTGTAAAATCCTTTTCTCAGAGTCCATTGAGGGACACAGCTCTTGAAGAATTATTATATGTATCTGCCTCTGTAAGAATTCTGCCTCTGAAATAGTTACTAGGCAAACAAAAAAATAAAAGCCTTCCACTTTAGGGACATAACCCATCCCACCTCACATCTGCCAGCTGTAGCAAGCAGTATGAAAGGAAATAAGGGGCAGGAGCTGTGTCCCTCAATGGACTATGGTAAAAATAAAATCCTATTTTGTCCATTGAGGGACAGAGCTCTTGAAGAATTCTGATGTGTAGGGATGTCCAAACAGAGGAGTGACCACAAAAACAACCAAAGAACCAGTTTAACAATAACTATGTAACTGTAAAAATAACATTTAAACAGCTGCGTGAAGGACTTTTCTGCCAAAACTAGCATCAGAGGAGGCAGAAACATCAATAAAACTTTGCAAAAGTGTTTGTCAGGCCTATACATTTTGTTCTACATAATGTAATATGGGCATCCGGGAAGCCAACTTTGTTCGGTCTATTCTATCAGTATAAAAGGTGAATTTGAGTTCATGGTTTCTGGACAAAAACTCTATCAGCGATTCTCAGAGCCTTACCACATACTTTCACAGGTTGTAAATTGTGGGGGTACCAGACAACAACGACGAGATAAGGACTAACCATGGTACCAGACTGTGTTGTACTGAGATTGATGGAATTGCTATGTCTCATACTTTAGAACAAAAGAGACTCCATGATATATTTTTTTCCTTTCTCACCATATAGGAAAAAGAGCTCACCATAAAAGTTATCTTGGATACATTATTATTATTTGAAAGGAATGGTATTAGCAATAATTTAAATTGTATTATTAGTATTGCACGAAGCATCTACATACTTAATTGAGTACAATGTTATTCAATGGAGCTGTTCTAATGTACAGTTCCATGTCGCCCGTCGCTTCAGCAGGACCCTTTTTCCCGCGGATGTCGCGCAATTTTTCTATTTTCGAATGCAGCCCCGACGGTGAAGGTCGTGCGGTCTTTGCTGGAACGTCACCCCAAACAGTTGCGCTATCCCGGCCCCGCTTGTAAGGTATGTCGCTTGGTGTGAATTGGGGCCTAAGGCAGTGATGTTGAACGTTTCTTAAACCCGAGCGCCCGAACTGCAATACAGTACTAAACTTATTTTTAGCGCTGGCACTTTGAGGTAAATAAATTGATTTTGCGTCGCAGTTTGGCCACTCGGGTTCAAAAAGGTTCGCCATCACTGGTATATATTATTAATATGGTGTTTAAAAAAAATAAATAATAATGTTTTTAGGTATGTTGTTATTTTTGTAATCAGTGAAAGAATGTGAGTAACCACTGTGTCTTAGTACAAATTACTTCATTCTCAACGTATGGAGAAGAAAATTGAATTGATGTTCTTGCTCAGACTCTCTCAAGCTATATCTCTTATATTATATTTCTTAAAGAGACCGTAAGTATGACAAGGTATGTCAATATATCTGATTCATTCTTAATTTTATGGACTTAGGTCAGAATGGTAATATTATTGGAATTTTAAGGAAAAATCCAAAATTATTCCTAGTCCAATATTGCCCTCTTCAGGTAATTTGGAGTAAGGTAATCTGAGTGTATGATGTCATAATTAGGTTAAGATAAACTTTCTAATCCCACATTTTTGGGTAATAAAAATTAGGAGAAAGTTAAGACTGGAAGACTGAAAAAGGGAAAGAATATACAGGAGGACATACACAGACACAGGAGGGAGAGAGAGATCTGAAGCTGATGGACGGGCTACCAGGGTGAACTGAACCAAATAGAACCTGAACATCTCTTGTCGCTACACTGACACAAAGCTGTCATCTCTAAGACAAAAGAATTTTCAAATGTTGGTATAGATTTCTATTTATCTGTAGGCAATTGACTAGATCTATCTATCTATCTATCTATCTAATTTAGTCATTGTGAGCATCAGGATTGAGTAATTTTAGCTGCAGTAAAAATGGTCTCCCTTTCAATCTTGGGAGAAATAATTATGGAGTCTCCTTGAAGCGGATTTCAGTTTCTAGTCGATGGTCTAGTTGCGATATATACATAAAAATAAAATAACTCAGTGGAAGTTTATCTTTACCTCAAATAGATTCTAGGCTGATTAGCCAGTCCTGTGCATAGTATTAGGAGTTAGTTTTGCGCAGTAGAAATTTGAGCTTTTGAACATCTGTTTAGCTGGGAGACGTAACATGTTGAATCTGCACATCATTTTGTCACATTCTGCTTAGCTACTGAGAAGTTAATTATTGCATTCCAAGAGTTACTTAGTTTTGTTTCTTTAATATTTAAATTTATATCCTATGGTTTTATTTTAGTTATGATCTTGCTGATCATAATTATTGCAATTTTGATCCATATTCCTTATTGTCACCAGTTATATTTTGATTATTATTTTTTCTAGCTGAGGTAATGGCCACAAGAAAGGCAACCTTTTGGATAACAAGGAAAGGTCTCAGATTGGTTCAAAAGGAGGTTTTTGTAAAACAGGTAAAACCAGGTTCAAGTCCCACAGTGGAAGTGGGGATCTAACAGGAGGAATAACACGTGCAACTCCCCGTGTAATGTTTAAGAAGTTTAATAAATCCAAAAAGTGGATATTTTATAAAGACTAGTTTCAGGATAATGATATTTACACACTAAGTATTGGTTGCCTAGAAAACACAGGTGCTTGATAGCGGGAACCATAGATAACCGATTCAATGTGAGGTACTGTGTAACCAGACCAACACAATCTATTTGCAGTAGAATGTGTAGATGTACATCCTTCATGTCTATGGAAACCAAAGAAATCTCTGACAAAAAAAACTGATCGAATGGATTGTATCCTGAATTTATGAACACTAACAGAAGCATTGAGATCTTTCAAATCCAAGATTGGATGAAGACAACTGTTGGGCTTGGAAAATGTAAACAGGTTTGAGGAAAAACCTTAAAAATGTTCCACCAAAGGAATGGGAACACCACCCTGATCTAGTAGACCTTGAATTGCACACAAAAAAAAGTCCGTCCAACACTGCGGAGCCACGGGAAGTCAAGGAGGAGGAGGGAGATGAAACCCTAATTTGTACCTAAGCATCTGAAATATGAGCTTCTCACATGTCCAAAAATTCAATCAGAGTCTCCCCACCTGAGATAGAAAAAATGTGGGCAGTCCTTCATGCCGAAGTGGACTTGTCTGAGGGTTTTGACTGCCGAAGGACGTCTTGAGGATTCAAGGGATTTAGAACAGTCAGATTGTCTTTTGAGATTGGGAACAAAAAGCTTGTTTTGAAGAATGGAAGTAACGATTAATAAGATGGAAAAGGTTTACAACACTGATCCTTATTTTTCCGCATCCGAGGTAAGTGTTGACTCTCCCGTAGCTTTTTTTTTTATAATCTTATCCAGGGATTCCTCAAATAGACAATTACCTACCTATTGTAAATATCCCTTTTTACACAAAAAAATAAAATCCTTAAATGCAGGAGCGTCAGCAATAGGAAGGTCAAAGCCTCATTCAGACGTGAAATTAGAGGATAAACCTCACTGGAAGTAGCCAATTTTTTCTAAAAAAGTCTTCAGGAAAAGGATACAAGGATTTAAAGTGTTTTGGTACTAAAAAAAAAACAAAAAAACGTATACCCAGATTTTCCCAATCTTTATAAAGAAACCTATCAAAGATGGGTAGTAGGATGTAAAGGAAAAACCCAACTTTCTATATTCTTATGTACACCCCAGAAAAATCATGGGAAAAATCTTGGCAGGTTTGAGGTGGGCCATTTTGTCTAGTGTCCATTTCTCCTAACGGCAGCCGCATAACCCTATGTATCAAAATTCTGCAAGACCTGTGTCCCTCAATGGACGATTGAGGAATATCACATTTTTGTCTTTGGGTTTAGTTATCCTTTAAAGTTAGAGGTTTCATAACCTCTGTAACTCATAGGTTAAACCTCAGTGGAATATTTTTCAAACTCACATGGCAGCTAAACATCCTTGAATGCAATTACAACAAAAGATTACCTGTAACTCTCCTTCCCACCAGCCTCCGGGGTTCTTCTTCCTAATCAGGATCAGTTGGCCAGGAGCCAGGGTCAGCTGCTCAGGACCGGTAGCCGCATAAGGGGCAATAACCTGGGCAATTTCTGAAGGCAAACAGAAGCTAAACCATTAAACATAAAAACACTACTATACGATAAGTATTCACTAGAGACAAAAGTTACTATGGGTTATTTCTGGTGCATAAATATTGTGCATTTAATTGCCAATCTTCTCATTTGCTCAGTTCATAAAAGGTAAAATTGGGGGGAAAAAAAAAAAGTTAATTGGAGTCATAAATTAGTTCTCCAAAAGGATAAAGTCATGCTGGCTCAGTGCTATTTTGCATGGGAGACCTTTAACCTCCCAGGCGGTCTGATTAACTCTGAATTTTTTATTTTCTATTTTTTACTTTTGAATATCTCGCCGGTTCCGCCCCTGCGACGCCGGCGCTCGCAGGGAAAGAACCCGGAAGATGGATGCCGGCATCGGCAGGACACAGTGGGGCTCGGAGGGACAAGGTAAGCGACGCTACAGAGTAATCCCGAGTGTGGCTCGGGGTTACCGCTTTTGGTACTGAAAATGAACCCCGAGCCACACTCGGGATTACCGTCAGGGAGGTTAAAGAGCAACAGAAGTGGTTGAAAAAAACAAAATTGTTAGAGTTTTAAAGAACTTTTGTGTATACGGTCTACAGCATATGCGCACAGTGGTGTACACTCTCTGTATTATTAAGATGTGAAGCCAGTAGCAGGGATAATGTAACTCCAGCGCACATATGCAGGAGTTACATCAATGGCTGAAGCGAGAAGAGGTCCAAAATAAGCAGCAGAGAACATGAAAGTGGCAGCGTCCGGGAGAGTAGTCATGTCATCACTGAAGAGGGCAAACTAGGCAGCAAGGTTACTATGCTGTGCATACTTTATGGCAGTGCTTCTTTGCCTGTAAATGTAGCTTGCCTGAATTCCAGTAAAAAAGAATCCTGTGCTGTAGGAGGGCCCCCATGCAAAAATTGATTCCCTTTTGGAAAGGAATATTTTCATGCATTTGAAATGTCAAACTGTAGAGAAGTTAAATTAATATTACAAATTATTTTGGATGCCAGGAGAACATTTGTTTGGATTCTCTTTTACTTTTTATCTATAGTTGCAGAATTATTGGCAGGAAGGCAGACATTACTGTTGAAGACACAGTAGCTCTTCCATACACAGAATTCTCAAAATAAACTTCAGCCTCAAAAAGCAAATTTTTTATTTATTTTTTTCAATTACTAGGAAAGTGTTGAACACACACCTGGTTTCTTTCCAAGGCTTCCCGTTTTACCTGCTATCCCAACACCCTACAGAAGCCAAAAAAATGTGCATTAGAAAGATGGCAAGAAGGTAATATACACTGCCTGGCCCCCAAAAAAGATAAAACACCACCTGGATTTGGGGAAAAATGAGGTCAGCTGCCTATCTGAATATACTGAAGGACCAGGTTGCGCCATCAATAGAGCTTTTTTCCCTGATGGCACATTGGGCATATTCCAAAATGACAATGCCAGGATTCATTGGGCTCAAATTGTAAGAGTGGTTCAGGGAGCATGAGACATTATTGTCACCCATGGAGTGACCTCCACAGAGCCCAGACCTTAACCCCATTGAGAATCTTTGGGATGTGCTGGAGAAGACTTTATGCAGTGGTCTGACTCTCCCATCATCACTACATGATCTTGGTGAAAAATAATGCAACTCTGGATGGAAATAAATCTTGTGACATTGCATAAGCTTACTGACATGATGCCACGGCAAATGAGTGCTGTTATTAAAAAGCTAAAGGCAGACCAACGATATATTAGGGTGTGTGACTTTTTTGGCCAGGCAGTGTAGATTTACATCAAACATCAGTAAGAAATTCTGATTCAAATTTAGAGGTACATTCACATTAAATGAAAAGGACTCCTACTAGTAATATTAGGGGGAAAAAAAACCCAAAACATTTCCCTTTTCAGCTGCCAAGCTCTGTAAAAGAATGTTATTGGCAATATACTGTATATACATAGTGTGCTCTGACACACAATACCTCAACTATAATGACAAGCATAGGGTAACAGAAAGCAGTAAAAGGTCAGGCAGAGGAGTAATTCCCCAGTAAACCCAAAAGAAGAAAATCAATTTTAAAAAGAGTTGCTCTTTAAAGGAGAACTATGGGGTGAGTGCTTTTCACTCACCTCATAGTTCTAGCCGACCTGTGACAAGGAGACTGTCACAGGTCGGCTCAGTAGATCGGGAGGTGAGCGAACACATACCGGCGTTCGCTCACCTCTCGATCCGGTCACGACTCTCTGCCGTGACAGGGGAGGGGCTGGATTCCCCCCTCCCCGCCAGCGCTGACTGGCGGAACGGACAGGGCGGGTACAGCTGGCTCTGCCTCTAGATAGGCAGCCAGCTGTCAGTCACGCAGCTGGGCCGATCCCAGCACAATTGTCGGGATCTGCTTCAGCATCTCAGTATACCGCGACTGAGCCTAGGGTGACGGGAGGACGCTAGTTTGTGTCCTCCCGTTACCCTAAAGAGAACTATGAGGAAAAGCCTTAACCCAATAGTTCTCCTTTAATACATCAGGGCCATCATCTCATCTTATAGTGTGATTTCAAAACATACTCCCTAGGCTAGTTAGCCTGAAACAAATGTAAACTTTTTTTTTTTTTTTAATCCTTATAAATCTTTAGGTATTAATCTATTATGTAAAAAAGATAATATGCTTTGCAAAATACAAGTCAACACAGAAACCTAGTAATTCAACCAAAATTGCCAGATTCTGCAACACTCTAAATCAGTGGTTCTCAATCTCTGTAACCTCAGGACCCACATATGTCTTTGGTCATTAAGTCGCGACCCAAGTTGCACTGCAATGGAGTGCACAGAATTAGGGTACCGCGTGTTCCAGTGCAGGCGTACAAGCTATGGGTGGGAGGTGCGTTTAGGGGGAACCAAATGGTAAAGTGCATTAATCGCACGGTACTATGCGATTAACGTACTGTACAAGTGTGAATGAGCCCCCCAAAACACTGACATACATGAACAACTACAGACACAATCTGTTGAACTGTGAATGAGCTCCATCCATATGTGCATTACATGTACAGCTCCGTTGTGCGCCCTGTAGAGGTGCCGGGAGCCAGAATGTGATGTCACTCCGGTCCAGGCACCTCTACAGGACATGTGAGGGAGCTGTAAGCAATGTACAAATGTATGGAACTCCCTCGTGGCCATAGCCCCATTCCACCTCAAGCTGACACTCGGCAGGATATTTTAAATAGCTGCTGGGCGCGAGAACTGAAAGTGATGCGCTAGGGGGAGGCTGAGGAGCCTCTCACCTAAAAAAGTGGAAGGCATGCGGTGACCCACTGAACACGGGGTCGCGACTCACCTTTGGGGCACGACCGACCAGTTGAGAACCAAGGTTCTAAATCATCTATCCAATGTACTAGATATAAAAACTTTTTTTCTGATTGGAAGAGGGGATTCGTGACATTATCTGCACCTCCTATCCACCCTGTTCAATCTGACAACGCCTTGTATTCATTGAAAAAAAAAATGTACATTGCATTTTCTGAATGTTGACTACTACTACTGTGAACTACTCCAGTCATATCCTCACTCCTCCTCGCTCATTTACAAAATGTAAAGGCGTCATGTGATTGGAGGAGGTGAGGAGGGGCCTGGGAACGCTCTCCTCCTCTAAATCACAGAACATATTTTGTGAATGGGCAAGTAGTGAGGAGGGGCAGGAATGCAATAGGAACACCTCACTGCTCAAGTTGCAACCCCCACAGTGCCCGAAAGCCAAGAGTTATGTGTAGGAGCTGGCACGCTGTAAAGTAAAATTGTTAAACATTGCAGCAGCCTTTCCCACATAACATACAGCTTTTTAATGATATTTTACACACTCGGTGCGCTGTGTAAATGATCATTTATTCCCAGAGTTTGGCTTTAGGTGCATCATTTTACCTCTGAATCTTTTAGTCTGACGTAGTTGGAAGGAAAGACACCGGTTTTATCTGCCACTGTTCCTGTCCACCAATCTCCATCTTTCTTAATGACTACTATCATATCGCCTTGCTGGAAGGTCAGATCTCCTTGTTCATTGCTCTCGTATGTGTACATCGCTATGTATTCTGAAAGCAACAGTAAATCAGGATAAAGTTTACCTACCCAAAAGTTTCAGAAAAGAAAGGCAAAAATGCTCAATATTCAAATCAGCCTCCCCAATCCCCTTCCTCAGCTTACTCCAAGCAAAGTCTCAAGTGAACACAGGAAGTGGAGCAAGATGTACCAGTCATTAAAAAAAAGCAATTTAAAACACACTGGACGTACTGAGATTCAAATATAATGGCATGACGCATGACAAAAGTAAAATAGTGGGGGGGAAAAAACCCACAATAACGCAATCATTTATCACAAACATTTATCAGCAGAAAAACACAAGTCCATGTAGACAAGGCATTAAAAGTCTGTTCACATCAACATAAGTTATTACTGAAGAGGATGTCGAGCCACTGGTCACATGCAGGTCTCTGCCAAAGGCTGTTCAGAAGAAATTACTACAAACAAAACAAATGGCAAGCACACTCATCAATTCATAACCAGCTTTAAGGCGAAGTGCACATGGAAGGGCTTTAAACACTACAACAGCAAACAATTTCCCAGCACACTCTCCAGCCAGCCTAAAAAAACCAGTCTACTTTCTAAGGTTAAAAACAGAGGTCTTCGTTGCAAGTCTTCTGCAGAAAATGTGGAAAGCCACACTGCCTCGTCAAGGCCCCTCTGTGTAGTGTGGTTTGTTTATAATCCAGGGCTCAAAATTTCCACTCGCCCCCTCGCAATTGGCGAGTGAAAATTGCGTGGGGGCGAGTGGAAATCCAGGGGGGGACTTCCGCCGCTTCGGCAGCGCATATGATGAGTCGCCATCTTGGAGCAAAGGATTAATTGGCTGCAGGTTAGTTGGGGGCTTCAGCTGCCATTGTGATGTGCGGGGTACCTTGTGTGTCCCTGTATCTATAAGGGTGTTGGGCTGGCTCCTGGCAAACCTGCACCCAATGCATTCTTTGCTATAAATGCTACAAAATGGAGGCTCTCATAGATTAGAGTTAGGACCACACTACACAGAGGGGCCTTGACAAGGCAGTGTGACCTTCCACATATTCTGCAGAAGACATGCAACTAAGACCACTGTTTTTAACTTTAGAAGTTAGACAGTGTTTTTTTTGCAGGCTGGCTGGGGAGTTTGCAGGGAAACTTTTTGCAGAAGGAAATACTGACTTACTAGATCTGCCTGAACATCACTACCTCAAGCCCCTATGATAAATACCATGTGACCAATGCCTTAGCACTGGTTATATGACCCGTTACTGGAAAGAAACTGAAGAAGCATTTTTTTCAGGACATCTAAATAATAAACTTTGGTTACTACCTACTGGTTTAGAGAAGCATAAAAGATAAAACAGATAACAACTTTAGCAGACGGGTCCACTATAACAGTTAAAAAAAAAACAGCAACAGGGAAAAAAAAAAAAAAAGTGCTTTTGGTTTAGTGTGCACAGTTTCATACATTTGATTCAAAATCTGAGGCAATGTAACCACTTGTTGTTCCTTTTAATAGCAAGACATGTTTCATACCACAAAGGCAACATAATCAACATATAATCTGCACTGCTACTCTATAGGGGGGAAAAAAGTGCCACAACCTAGTGCATCCACAGGGAAACTGCTTAGATCAAAGAAGAAACAGAGTTGCACTCATAAGAGGGGCCAAAGGGTGAATCGCACATCTACGAATACATTGTCCTCAATGTTTGTGCAGTGTAATTATACTTTACAATGCTTTTACATTTCAGATTTCTACTTTCACAAAGAGAATGGTTGGCAGCACCCGAAACGTTCGGCAGACGTACCTTCACCTTGTTGGACAGTTGGCTTGAATGCTGGTGATGAGACTCTCTTTAAACTGGCCGGACTTTCTGAAGACGTTGAGTCAATACTTTAAGAATAAATAGAAGTAAAAATATGCGGTTAATGGATGACAGCAAATAAACAGCAGCTCCATTCTTACATAATGTGTGTAAATGACACTAGCGACCGTGTTCCAGATCGTTCCCAAAGTGACTTCTGGGAGCTGTGTCTCTACCTTTGTCTCACTAGGTGTCCTGCCAGCAGAAGCCTGTTTTGGAATACCTGGGCAGTTTGAAGCTTTTCCAATCAGGATTTAAGCACATATTTGGACACTCAATGGTGGATGGAAGGTACATACTATACTTCAACCTTAATTTTATATTATAACTTGAAATTTCTCTGCACAGCCCATTACCAGTTTTAAAAAAAATAAAAAAAAAAAGGAAAAAAAATTCCTGCCCCAAAAATGTAAAAAAAAAAAAAAAAAGGAGCTCCGGCTGTAAAACTCACCCCATCTCTAATGCTCCCCCCCTCCCACTTCACCTGCAGAAAGGCCCTTTTGGCCCCTACTACACACCATTCAACCCACTCTTGTGAGCCCAGGAGAACTGGGGCATGGGAGACAGTCAGACATTGCTATGTGCTGGCAGCAAAGGATTTTCTAGCCATGGTGGACGTCGCCAGCTGCAGAGGAAGCATGTCAGCGATCGGTACCACTCCATTTAAAAGAACCCGGGGACATTTTTTAAACATTTTAAATAAAATTTAAAACATTTGATAAACGCCCCCTTAAAATATTTGAAGGGATAATGCCTTAGTTCTGCCTACTTCTGAAGAGGAAAACTTGAACACAAGCCAACCTACAGGTAAACGGTGAGGGTCTCCCCACTCAGGCTGTTGCTGCTAGAAGAACAGCCTGACTTTCATGGACCAGCTTCAGAGATCCATCATTTTTTATTGCAAAAAAATACAGAGAAACTGAAAAAAATTGGACATGCCAGCAGTGCAGACTAAACAAAGTCTCACCAATCAGCGGCAGGTATACATTTGGACCGTTTTTTAAAATGTTTTATTAACTTCTTTTTTTGCTCCATAACACT